TGCCAATAAGGATCTCATTCTTGTTTCAGGTCCACTGTCGCAAATTTCAGTGAATGCCGAATGGTCAATCATATATAGTTTTCACTATATCGCCGAAATCGTGTATGCGAAGCAATAAATTTTATTGTTTTGAATGACCAAACGATTTTGAAGAGCGAAAGAATAACACTTGAGCAATATTTATAGTAATGCCGACAAAATTATTTTCAAATCTAAAATTTTTAGACACTTTAACGAAATTTTTTTTTTATCCGCACGCACAGCACGTGTCTGTTGTCTAATATTTGAGATGCAGATCTGTATGAGAATAGTTTGCAGAATCAGATATATAAATCTGTAAGTATTTAAGCACTAACATCCGCTTTGACCGAATAAAAGATTTTTCTTGTTTTATTACACTTATTCTCATTGGTCTAAAATTTGTATAATGTGATATACTTACTAAAAATAATTTTGTTGGATCATAAAAATAATTACGTCGAAGACTCAAGTAGGATGAACAATGCTGCAAAAAAGTTTGGACATTAGAAGCTAACGTGAACATCCCATATAATATTTTGATTCGACACATTTATTTTCAAATCTATATCTAGCTTAATTATTATTATCTTAGCAAAACTCATATAGCACAGAAGCAATTTTGCTACAACATTATCATGATAAGTCGCGAAAAAGTGGTTCAGAGAAAATGCATTTAAAGACTCAAATGTACAATAGTTTACATATGCAAATCGAACACTTACAGGATTCTTTTTTAGTCAGTTATATCAGAGTCATATAATAATACTTTTTCTTGCTCAAAGAATTGATTTTGTCCAATTGTTGTTTTCTTCTATAAATTCGAGTTTCTCTGCACGCCTCGAGGCTTTGTCTAAACGGTTTGTTCAACTATTGCTCGTCACGCGCAGATGTGAATATTTCTGTTTCGTACACGGTTAATGAACACAAAAGGCTATTGTTTAATGATTAAAAATCAACTTTAACATTGCTTAGACAAGTTATACATAATATGATAAAACTGAACGATTACACTAAAATGATGTTTATTGCTTTTTACATCTTCTATATTTAACTGAACTTAACTTTGTCTTTGAAAGAAAAATACGACGTTTGCTTAGAAATTGATTGCCTCAGAGCATCGTCTGTTAACGTCACATTTGCCGACAGTTTGTGCACAATAATTATTGCCTACAGCTCGATTATCTACACGCTTTGTTGCACGCAAAATTAAGGGAAAAAGGTACGCGTGCTCACATGATCACTATTGCGCATTGAACACATAATATTATTGACTATAAATCAATAATTACATATCTACAGATCTGTTGACTACACATCTACATGCTTTTGCACACAAATAAGAATTTTAGAGACGAATTAGTCACATTCGCTTATACATATTATCATTACATATTATCGCCTACATATCGATTGCCTACAAACATTTTTGTATAAGAAAATAAAATTAAGAATCAACGATTTGTTTGCACGTACATATTATTGTATACAAATCCATTGTCTAGAAGCACTTCAATTACATAAAACAATAATTTTTAAAACCGAGAATTTGTATTTTAAAATTAGGAAATTTGCGTTAAAGCTGAGAATAGTATAGACAATCGAGTTGTAGACAATAATTTTGATGCTCAAACAAACCGTCGACAAATGTAACACAAACGGTACTATAGGCTATCGATTTATAAGCATACAAGTCCATCCTTTCCGGAATAGTACATTAATCTTTATTTAAAGCAAGATGCTTTTACGGAAAACTTTAGGAATATTATAGCGATGATTTAATAATCGAGACAAGAACAAATTACTAATGCTTTCATGTCAATTGTTTTAATATAAATCTTGTTTGTTAATTTACAATAGTACATAAGTGATAGTCATACATACAAAAATAATAATCACCATGTACATCAAATCTTATACGAGAGTGTGTTCTGAAGACGCAGTTGGATAAATTAACAGTAAGAAATTCTTATCACAATTGTTCTGTATATATATTTAGGGTACATTTCGTTTTCACCTCACACACAGTAAACGCTAGTACAAAACGGTTTTTGAGGTAGTACATACGCGATAATATCATTCAAAAGTCCCATCGCGAATTTGATGACGGAACTCTCACATTCGACTCCCGCCAATGCACAGTGGGACTTATCGCTGAAAAAGGGATCAAGTCACTTGTAACACTTACATATTAAAAATAGATTTTTGGGTGGCTGATCATGATGAGTCATCACAATAAGAAAATTTCAAATTTTTAAAGAAATTTTAAAAATTAAAAAAATATGTATATAATTATACATTTTTAAGTATATATATATTTTTTTTTTAATATATATGAATTTTAAAAATATTAAAAATTTGTATGAGCAAGTCACAGTTATGTATGCATGTGTCATACAAGTATTTTGAATTTTCTAATTCTTATGTCAGAATCATTATGATCAGCAACCAAAGAAACTCCAGAAGTAAACATGTGTTTTAGACACGATTTTAAAAGTAAAATTAACAATATAAGAAGTGCTATTTTAAACAAATTATTTTTTGTCAAAATCGAGATCAGTCACGTAGATAGATTAACGTAGTTCACTGCTTTTACTTTGATTCACATTTCAGATTGACACAAATGTTTACAGAATTTATTAAAATTAAATTCTTTTCACAAATCTATTTTGCAAACTAAATAGTAAAAAATTACGATAATTTTTTTATAATATACGTTTAATGTTTTTTGTTCGCATGATCGTGTTTTCTTAAATATCACTGTTAATTTAGGTCTTAACAAAAATAAATATGACATTTTTATTAACTTTGTATAAGTGACACGTATAAGAAGCATTCAATTGCTTATATCTTCTAATACAATATAATATGTATATCAATTTCAAGAAATTCTGTTTTTAAGTCGCGGGTGTATTACCTTAAATTCAACAAATAATTAAAGTAAATAATTAAAAAAGTTAATTTATAAATCGGATTTGTCTTCAGAATGCATTGTGAACTTTGCAGGTCGGTGATTCTGTATCTGACTACTATGAGCGTTCAATTGTATCTCCTAAAAAAATTGCATTTATAGGAAAACTCTCATAAAAAAATTACATTTTTATCCTCAATTACTTTCATTATCGGTTTATTATTATTATTAAGAGTAGTCATAAATGTTGCCTTGATCGTGAATTGTGACCTACTCTGTCAGTCGCGGTTAGTCCTTTACTACGGTATCACTAATGTGACCTTCAAAAAAATAATCTCTTAAATAATGAAAGTTATTAAAAAAATTAATTTAGTGGTTGGTTTTATTTTATGAACGCACATTGTGAATTTTACACGTCGGTCATCCTGTATCTGACAATATTTTATTGTATTTCCTAGAAAAATTGTATTTATTTGGGGAAACTTCCATTAATACATATATCAAATCTTGTAAAAAAATTACATCTTTATCCTCAATTTCTTTCATCATTGGTTCGTCATTATTATTAAGAGTTGTCATAAAGTACTTGATCTGCTATTCTGTTGTCAGTCGCGGTTAGTTTTTTACTACGCTATCATTAATGTGACCCTAAAAAAATAATTTTTTATGTATCAAATGTATTGTGGTACATTATAATAGTCTATTATAATATGTTATGAATATATAAAAAAATATAAAGATAACGTGAATTTGCTAATAAATTAAACGTTATATCGTGAATAACCTCCTTTTGCATGTGTGCAACAAGTCGCCATTTTTCCGTGAAGCTTCTGTTACATATCGAACATTTATACGGCTTTATATCGCTATGTATATATTTGTGCTTGTTTAGGTTACTTCTAGAAGTAAAAGCTTTGTTGCAAATCTAAAATACAGCACATTTATAATTACAAAAATGTAAAAATAACCACGATCAAATGAGATATAATTAGAAAAAATAGTACCAATAATTTTGTAGCACATACCTCGCAAACATGTGGTTTCTCGCCTGTATGTATTGCTGTATGCTGTTTAAGGTAATCTTTACGTTTAAATGTAGCTGCACATGTGTCACATTTATACGATCTTTCATTCATGTCAGAATGCATCGTTTCTAAATGATTAAATTTATCCTGTTCATTATCAAATCCATTGTTACAAACTTCACAATTGAAATGCAAATTTGTCCAAATGTGTCTGCTTAGATTCGATGGGCGACTGCAAAGTGTTTATCATTTGTTAACCATTAATTTAAGTAATATGATTATTTAATATTTTTATAACTTTTTTACTCACGTAAATCCTTTTTCACAAATCTCGCATTTATAAGGTTTTTCACCTGTATGAATTATCAAATGACGACGTAAATCGCATTTCCGTTGAAATATTTTACCACACGTTTCGCATTTGTAGCGTTTATCATCAGTGTGTACCTCACTATTAGATCGTTTCAAAGCTTGTGAGGAGGGAATGTGTTCATCTTTAATATAATTGAAGATAATTGTTAAAAAACAAATGTGGAAATAATAACATAAGATGGAACTGTTGAAATAATACAAGCATGTCCAAAACTCTAAAAATATTAAACATGGACTACATAAATCTCATCGCAATGTTTAAATTCATATTTTTTTGTACCTTTATCCATTATTTTTAACTGTTGATTCAAGTATTACGGAACTTGAGATTGATAGAATATTCACAATAAGATTGGAAACAAAATTATTTATGTTAAATGCATTACTTTAAATACGAAGTATAGCGCCAGTACGGTCTGAATGTTCAGATGTTAAAGTATATATTTTCTGAAATTAATTTATTTAAATGAATATTTATAATAGTTCAACATCTTAACATTCACAGAACCGTAATGACGCATCATATTTAAAGTAATGTGACAGAGTATTTCCCTATTTTTCATAGAACTCTCAAAAACTTTAGGTGTATTTTTCAATTGATTTTCTTGTAACGTTCCCTAAATTCTTTTCTCACGGTTACATTTTTTTGTTTATGTATATTTTCAAGTTTACTTATTTAAAATCGTAACAGAGCATAATTTTTTACTAACATAATTTAATTTAATTTAATTTAACTTAATTTAATATATTGCAAAGACTATATGTTAACAGTGTAACAGACATGATACAAAAAATATGATACCAAACATTTTACTACACTTTTCGCATTTGTAGGTGAATACGTTTGTATTATCTCGACTTTGGACCATTACAACACCTTGCGTTGTTGAAGATCCTTGAACAGATACTTTCCCAATGGAGGACGAATTCAATTCGATGACACTTTCTTTTTGAGACATAACGTCGAGACCAGAAGCCAAATTCGGCATTTGTTTGGAATCGACTGTAACAAGCTCGTCGGCGTCAGCCACTAAAGCAGGTGGTTGGCTAGATTTTTCTTTATCTGCAGATTGCAGTTCTAATGACGTTGCCAGATTACTGCATGAAATTGAGGTTTTGTTGGATTTACACGACTGTGTATTAGCGAGGTTGAATGCACGATGAATCACGTTGCTATGGCCCAATAGTCTTTGGTCTTCAGATTCCCTAGTCCATTCTTGATCACTGCCTGTGTCATTTGTCGTTTTCTTTGCAGCACTGCTTCCTTCTTTCTCTAAATCATTCTCCGAATCATCGTTTCTCTCTTTATCCAACAGTTCATTCTCTTCATTTTTCATTGAACCATACCATTGCTTGACTTGATCCATCGCTTTTGATTTATTAGATCGCATCAAGCGTTCTGCTTGAGTCGCAGTACTTGGTCCAGGCTCACTGCAGGACTCAAACTTTTTAGGTATACTTCTCGATTGACTTTATTGTAATGTTTCTTAAATTCTTTTCGTATTTCTCACTAAATTTCTATTATGTATATTTTCAAGTTCATCCATCTAAAATAATCGTATGAAATCATAATTTTTTAATAATATAAGTTGGATTTGTTAAATTTAGTCATCATTATTTAATTTATTTTACTGCTAAATTGGTGTATTTTATTGTTAGTGTTATTAGATATATAATTTTAAATGTTTTTGTTTAAATATGAACGTGTTGAATCTTATTACAAATTGACATAAGTAAAATGTTAGATTGAAAACATGGGACGTTAAAATAATTAA